TTCACTACATCCATGACTGTGACTGGCGGTCCAGGTGAGAACAACACAGTTGTTGTGGAAATTCCCAAGTCGTTGACCACCACCACCAGAACATGGACAGGAGCTGAAATCACGACGTTGACTGAGACTGGTCCATCCACCGACACGATTATTGTCGAGGTTCCCACTCCAACTGAAACTGTGACGTCTGTATGGACTGGAAGTTTCACTACATCCATGACTGTGACTGGCGGTCCAGGTGAGAACAACACAGTTGTTGTGGAGGTTCCGTCCCGGACCGAAACGGTGACTCTGACCTGGACTGGCAGTGTCACTTCGTTGACGACTTTGACTGGAGGCCCTGGTGAGGACAACACCGTGATTTGGTTTTACCCCAGAGCTTTGCTAATGGTGACTCGTACCTGGACTGGATCTGGGACTAATACAATCACTGAGAGTGGAAGTGACACGGACACTGTGATTGTTGAAATTCCGACTCCAACTCAGACTATCTCGTCGCATTGGACTGGTAGTTTTTCCACCACAAAAACAGTGACGGGTGCGCCTGGCGAGAATAACACTGTGATTGTTGAAGGACCCAAACCTGTAGCGTCAACAACGGTAACATGGACAGGAAGCGAAGTCATCACAATCACCGAATCTGGCAGTGAGACAGATACAATTGTTTTTGAGGTTCCCCCACCAACGCAAACTCTGTTTGCTCTGGGGACTGTCAGTTATTACACCTCCACAATTGTGATTGGTGATTCCATTGAGAACGCGACCTTTACTGTTGTTGTTCCAACCACCTTATATCCAACTGTGACCACGAGCGAGTCAAATGCAGTTTCATCCTCGGTTTTGTTGTCATCTTTGTCTGTGACCGAGAGCCTGGTGACAGTATCATCAGCAGATCAGTCTTATGTCACTTCCTCGTCCTCACTGCTTGCTGACTCTTCAAACCCCTTGACAGCGGTTTTCCCTTCAAGCACCACTGATTCATCTGGATATTTGCAGTATTCATCATTCACGACAAGTCCTACCCTTGATTCTCTGAGCACCCCTGACTCGCCCGTGCAATCTCTTGACTCGTCTTCGCTTTTGACGACTGGAACTTCTTCAAAGTTGCACTCAAATTCAGGTTCGAGTATTCTCGAATCATTACTGTCGGTCAGCGAGACATTTGTTCTGACTGAGTCAACAAGTTCTGCAGATTTATTGACCACTGCATACCCAAGTGAGTCATACAAGTCATCTGAGCTTCCACCTATCAGCGCATCATTGGCCTCTCTGTCAGATGATTTCTCGTCAAGCGTTGTCTCACCCACCTCGTCGTCTGAACAGAATTCTTCATTTGATGCCAAGACCTCAACTATCCTGTCATCTTTTGTCTCCTCTGATGTAATGAGTTCTTCTGTTATCTCATCAACTGAATCCTCTAGTGTTTCGGAGTCTTTGATATCGTTTGCTGCTTCGAGCCTGTCAAACACCTACGGTTCGTCGGTTGAATCATCCTTCATCAGTGGCTCTTCCGAACTTTCCCCGTCTTTGACTATGTCCGTCTACCCAGCAGACTCCTCGATTTCCACCGGAGTGCAAAGCTCTTCGGAATCTCAGACTCTGGTATCCGCTTCAAGCAGTGTTACTGTGTCTATTTCTCCGGCCGAAACTTCCTCTGCTACAGATTTTGTGAGCACATTGGTTCCCCTAACTCTGGTTTCATCATCGTCTGTGTCGGACTCACGCGTTTCCTCAACTGAAACCTCCTTTACTAGAGACTCTGCGACTCTCTTGCCTTCTACGGGCGCTCATTACACGAACTCTTCCTCTGTGGAACTGTCGCTTGTCTCAAGTTCTTCGAGTGTTTCGATATCTGTGACATTGGAATCATCTATGGGCTACTCTAGTCCATCTTCTGGTGAACTGTCTTCTATGACTGATTCAGTTGCAAGTGTTTCGGGCTCGTCATTACATTCTGGCTTATCATCTGATGTTGCACAAGCCTCACTGTCTTTGGCTTCTACGATATCAAGCTCTGCAGATATGAGTGGCTCTGTTGGTTCTTCTTCAGTATTCTCAGATTCAAGATCTCTGAGGACTGAATCTCGTTCAAATGATCAAGTGTCATTTGTTTCTTCCACTGAAACTTTTTCTCTCACAGATTCTCAATCATTGACTTCGGCTTTGCTTTCCAGCACTACTGGCTTCTCTCCCTCTTTCAAGGAGTCTTCGGCAAATGTTGTTGCGACGGGTATACCAGAATCTCTGATTTTGGGGTCGTCTTCAACTGTTATCGAATCTGCAATCTCTTCTGAGAAGACTGGTGTACTTTCTTCAGCGGCCCCAGATTACCTGTCCTCTGCATTGACTTTCAGCGGAACTGGTTTGACTGTTTCACTTGAAGAATATTCTTCCACTGCATCAACGGGTGTCCCAGACATACTGGCTTCAGGTTTACCTTCCATTACTTCCAAATCCGTAGCTGTTGAGTCAAGTGTTTCGCCCGAGGAATCTTTGACGATGGCTGTTTCTTCAGCTGTTCCAGATTATACGTCTTCTGCATTGGTTATAAGCCGGACTGCCTCAGCTGTTGCCTCTGGAGGATTTTCTGCGATTACTAGCAGTTCAAGCCTCTCGAAATCTTTGAGTCCGTCTTCATCGTTCACAGTTTCAGACTCCGTCACCAGTTCAATTGCCTTGTCCTTAGACTCAGATGAACCTTCCTTTATCGGATCCGCGGCCCATTCCTCTGATTTTTATGCTTCGAGTTCTGCATTGCTGTTGCCCTCCTCATTGTCAAACGATCATAGCTTTGTTTCTACTGGTAGTTCTGATAATTCCCTTACCACTGAAACTTCTGCTATTTCAGCATGGACACCTGATACATCTTCAGTGCCTGGATTCTCTTCAGATGGGTTAGCCCAGTCATCTGGTTATATCAGCGTGAGCTCGAGATTCAGTTATTTCCCAAACACAACCTCAACTGGGGGCTCACGGTCGACACAGGACCTCACTGATATAACCTCTGAAGCAGGTTCATTCGCTACCATATCTCCTATCTACCTGACAAACACTTTGCAATCAGGTGAAGAAAGCTTTTCCGTTTCATCTGGATTCAGGGAATCCTCCGATGTTCCAAGTGCTGCTACCAGAACTGAGACCTCCACATCTATTGTCCCTGACACATCTGCATATGACCAGCTGTCAACTGCTTCTACAGAAATGGCAGGCACATCGAGCCAACAGACTACTAAGGTCCCAACCGAGACATTCACCCAATCGCCTAACTCTGTTTTCTGTCACAGAGGTTCATGTTACACAATCTCCGCCGCGAAACAGTCAACCGAAACGGTGACTGTACCAATCACATCTTCGACTCTGACCGAGGATGAGAAACCAGGCCAAACATCTACCATGACCGAGGATGAGAAACCAGGCCAAACATCTACCATGACCGAGGATGAGAAACCAGGCCAAACATCCACCATGACCGAGGATGAGAAACCAGGCCAAACATCTACCATGTCGGACGATGAGAAACCAGGTCAAACATCTACCATGTCGGACGATGAAATTCAAGTCGCATCTTCAACTACTTTTGACGCCAACACATCGGATTCATTATCTACTTTCAGTGCAAGTTCATTCCAGACGCAGTCTTTTAGCTCCAGCTCCAGCTCAGCTCCTTCTGAGCCAACTCAAATTTCCATTTTGGAAGGTGGCGGTTCGAAACCCGTCATTCTGCTCATGGTGCTCTTGCCCATTTTGGCGATGGTCTTTTGATCTAACCCACCCGCATTTCTGCGATACGCATATTTCTCCTTTCGCTATCCTCCTTTGAGTCGATTTTACTTTCTTGTATTTTAATTTGTTATCTCGTTAATTGGCTTAGCCACATGTAGACATAGTTCTGACAAACGTGGTCAACGTGATCTGAACAAATGCGTGTGCGGTCGTGAATTCCACAACACGGCTGAATGTGGGTTGCAAAAACCTTCACAATGTCCGAACAAGTTCGAGCGATCAATGAAGTTTTCTTCCAATGAAGAAATAGAACAACGACGAATCTCGTCGCTTATTCACACCCCAGTTTCTTTCTTCTCGAGCGTTATATGCACATCGAGGACATCTGTATCAGGGCCTCGTATTTAAGCTAATTTCGGAAGGCTCGTTGCCGGAAGCCTATTAGCCGAAGCAGCAGGGGAAAAACCGTTGAATAACACATTGCCACTCCGCAAAATATACAGTCCGGGATCAAGCGTGGCTGTACGGCCAGCCAGACTCAGATTGTAGGGAACAAAATATAGAACATATGTGACCGACGCGAACCGAACGGCCGAAATACAATATGCATCAATTTGCATTGGATTACAGGCAGTATCGAAAAATGGACTAGGCATGTTTGTTCTTGGTGTGGGTATTTCGTTTCGTTATAGATCAAAGCGTATACCTTACACAAAATTTGCAGGGACAGACTCCAAAAAACACTGACCAAAGAACGAGCTTCAGAATGTGATGGCATGTGGACTTGCCATTGCCATGGGAATTGACTAGCAAAGCGTTGTGTAGTTGCTATACAAGCTTAATTTTCGGTGTAGTGGCATTAAAAACTTAATATCTATAGAAGAACACACACATGTTCGGGTGCATGGGTCCTGAAACCAAACCAGCGTACTGGAATTTAAAGTTTTACGGATGTTCCTTACGAAGTGGGCGTTTACACACGCTCGAGAACACGTGTATAGAAGAATTAATCTGAACCGCCCGTTTTTAGATCCAGGCGGGCATGTATCAGTATGTTCTGCTTTTATCTCGAGAAAGTTTATCATTCATCAGCACAGATATCACCTAGAATTGAAGCCACCATGTAAAGTTAGAAAAACGAAGAGTATACGAAAACAATATACAATTGCACGCAACGTTACAGACTTTGCTAGCCATGAAAGTAGCAGAAATGGCAATATTTGGAAGCCCCATCACAGCATTCACGTAGCTGAGCTCGTAGCCCACGTAAATTAACAATGGAATCTGGACCCCATTCTTTTCAGCCACAAGAGGGCCAGGTGGTTTCAAACCGGAATATTCAGTCATTTTAATGTTTTGCTGTTCAAGTGTACCCCACGCAGGACGTACTATGTGGAGCAATCACCCATCGAGATCGAGACCCTATTTTATTTTGAGAAAAAAGGGATTTTATGTACAAGCCCAAGCTAAGTAGTGTTTTGAAGAGTGGCCAACTTGAGACTGAAACTGAAATTTATGAAGCTGAGGGACGTTGTCTCTGTAGTGAGTGAATCTCAGGTATTGAATATCTGAGCGTTGCGCTTATCTGCACTCGCAAGAAGCACCTCAAGGTTTCCATCCAGTAGCTGCATCGATTCTCTCGCCCACAAAATGTTGATATGAAATCGCTCGTCAAGAGAGGGAGTGAAATGGACCTCTTTTGCATTTAGAAATTTCGCCAAACCCACACATGTAGTTTAGGCTTCTATTACTGCAGATCAAGCGCTTTGATTCGTGAATGCGTGCCTGCACACATGGAGAATAGGCTGTGTAACACAACGTTTACACATTCCTCCCGGCGAAGCTCATTTAAGAATAGCGCAATCACCATGAAGAATCCCAAAAATGAGGTCATCAGCACCAGCCAAAATACAGATGCTTCCCATATTTCTTTTTTTGGCGTCGACTCTCGCGGTAACTTCTGGCTGCACACCGGCGACAATTGGCACTACCGGTTTTCTCGCCCGGTTTTATAGCTACGGACTCCGAGATGATTCAGGTTGGGACGCAGACTTTTTCAGGTCGGGATACAAGACCACGCTTTTGCAAACTGTTGCTGGAGTCACTGAGAGCAATTTCCAATTCTCGGACCAGCCTGATCGCGTCGTGATCCACAACTCCATTTATGGGTTCGACACGACCATCTCTAATTTCTCGCTTGAGTTAAGCGCGTTTTTCTTAGCCCCGGATACAGGTACCTATACATTCAGATTAGCCGCAGACAATGGCGCATCTTTGCAGTTTGGTTCTGGCCAAGCGTGCTGCAATGATGCTTCTGGAAGTGTAACAGGTGATTTTAGTATCGATACGTTAGGGCCTGCTGGTGGGGGAGGCGCCACTGACGTGAATGTGGAGACCGCCTCTTTCAATCTCACAGCAGGAGTTTATTACCCGATCAAAATTGTAATGTTCAACTGGCAGGGAAATGGCGGCCTTGATTTGAAGATGACAGATTCATCGGGTGCCACGATCTCAGACTTGGGGCCCTATGTTTTTCAAGCCATGTTTGAAGACAGTGTCTGCTACACAACCGTGACTTCTATCTGGACCAATTCGTATACATCCACTACGACACAAACTGGAACCCTGACGAACACGGTCATAGTGGAGATTCCGAAATATACAACCACTGTCACCAGCACGTGGTCCAATCGATATACTTCCACCACCACTGCGACAGGCTCCCTGACAAACACAGTGGTGATTGAGGTACCGACTCCAGCGATCACAATCACCACTATCTGGACAGGGACATATTATACTCTGACCACTATCACAGGGGGTCCGGGTCAGACCAATACCGTCATTGTTAATCAGCCCAAGACCACTACTACGGTCACTAGAACATGGACCGACTCATATACCAGCACAACAACAAACACCGGATCATTGACAGACACTGTCATAGTTGAAGTCCCTACTCCAACCGT